AATTTTTAAAATACCAACTCAAAATGTTTAAAGAACACAGATTTGGTTCCCCTCTGGTCTCGTTCACCTCTCAGTGAATAAAAGTTAGCTCTATGTCAGGGATCTGTTCTGGTATGTCAACAAGCATATGTGCAGTGGTTATTGAGTTTGCCAGGCTTCGAGAGAGTCTTTGCCCTTGCTCTGATAGTGTTGAATTATGTAAAAGACCTGCAGTGGTAAGGTATGTATCAAGGCTGTTTGGTCTTAAATGCCGCAAATAATAGCAATAAACATTGGAAACAGAGACAAGTATCAGGAACGTGTCTACCGTGCTATACTCAACACCGAACATTTCTTATACAAAGTAAGGACAACTAGACATTCAAATCACTGAGTGCTTTATTGCACAATTAAGAAATGTATAACCATTTCATTACTTTACAATGGTAAAGCTGATTTGTAACTTTTATGTGAATGTGCGAATTTGCACTTGAAAGAGTTTAGACTTCTATTGAACAAGATGTACCTTGACTGTATAAAGCCTTTTATAGTACAAAATATACAAGCAAGTACATGTTTTAAACATAAATGTAACTGAGAATAGCCCATGTTTCTAGTCAAATGCACTTGTGGAAAATACCATTCATCCACAAAGATGCTTTTAATAAGCTTTGAAAGGGAGACAAACTCCATAGTGTCGTCAGATTTTTCTACTTAAAATTACATGTATATTAACACCAACCTTTTATTTTAGAAAAATAAGGGTTAATGGTTTATGGTTTATTCTACTCTATAATGTTTACAAAGTAAAACTTCTACTCAAGAGATGAACTTGTGGACCAGCATAGCGGCGCATGCCTGTCTGTAATCCCAACATTTTGGGAGGCCAAGGAAGCAGATCACTTGAGCTCACCTGCCTGAGTTTGAGACCAGCCTGGTCAACATGGCAAAACCCCATCTCTACAAAAAATACAAAAATTAGCCAGGTGTGGTTGTGAGTGCCTGTAGTCCCAGGTACGCGGGGAGGCTGAGGTGGAAGGATTGGTTGAGCCAGGGAGGTGGAGGGTGCTCTGAGCCTAGAATGTGCCACTGCCCTTTAGCCTGGGCTATAGAGCCAGATCTTGTCTAAAAAAAAAAAAAAAAAAAAAAAAATCCTTCAATGAATACAGATTAAGAGCTTGCTTTACATCTGGAAACACCTAGTGATCAACAAAAATCAAATTTAGACAGGACAGTTTCCTTTTTGAGTAATTACATCCCTAAATTCCTTCTGATTTTGTATTTCCACATCTCAGCATCTGAGGATGGACAGCACCAAAACAAAGCCTATTAGGATGATGAGCTCTCATCTTTCAGATACAGATATCGCCCTGAATTGGACTTCATTGGCATAACTGTATTTTAGATGTCAACTTTAAGTAAGCCTTTTTAAGGAATTATCTACACAAAATAATAAAGGATATAGCAAAACTTCAAATAAAATCAAACATTGGCTTCTTATAATTACATGATGAGAAAAGTTCAAAAATGAGTGGTGCCGGCATGAGTTCAAGACCAGCCTGGGCAACAGGGTAAAACCCAATCTCTACAAAAAATACAAAGATTAGCTGGGTGTGGTGGCACACACTTGCAATGCCAGCCTGTATTTTGGAGGTTGATACATGAGAATCTCTTGAACCCAGGAGGTGTAGATTATGTTGAGCCAAGAGCGTGCCATGTCACTCCAGTCTGGGCAACAGAGTGAAACTCTCTCTCAGAAAAAAAACAAAAACAAAAAATGGTTTTATTTTAACATAAAATGAACTACAATTAGGATTTTATGCTTTCTTTTAACTTCAAACGAACAACATTACTCATGAAATCAAAGAATCATACGTTCATAAACATTAAAGCCTATCATAAAATTGGTAGCAATTAATAGTTATTCTTTCTTTATACACAATAAATGAACCAGTTATTATCACTTTATTGTGCAAAATCAAATGGTCAATGAAATTAATTTCAGATCGGGCCGGGCGCGGTGGCTCAAGCCTGTAATCCCAGCACTTTGGGAGGCCGAGGCGGGTGGATCACGAGGTCAAGAGATCGAGACCATCCTGGTCAACATGGTGAAACCCCGTCTTTACTAAAAATACAAAAAATCAGCTGGGCATGGTGGTGCATGCCTGTAAT